TTACTCTTAGACTAGCAGTGCTGATTGCAGTTGATAGCATCGAGCTTTTCAAATCTACTAATTACCTTTATCCCCTGAAAATGACAAGCTAAGTCAATGACTAAAGCTAAGTGTACTTACTTAGGCTTGGAAAGACCTTGATAGTAGCAAGATTACAGGTGACTGGTGTGTGTGCGCGCGTGCGAGTATGCTGTAGTGAAAAATCACCACAGTGCTACTGCTTCAGAGAGAATTTTACTGTTCATGCCAGAAATATACAAGCATCTAAAACGCTTTTATTTTAAAGCGGACCTATTGTTCCCCTTTTTTACAAGATGTAAAATAAGTCTGTGATGTCCCCAAAGTGCGTGTGTGTAAAGTTTGAGCTTGAAAATACCATAAAAATAATGTTTCATAACTCTCTGAGACTGACACTTTCAGGCTTTGTTTCGAATTGTGGTGTTTTAGTGGCTGTCACTTTAAATGCAAATGAGATTGTGCGCTTTTCAAAATAGGGCGGAGCTACAAACCCCTTTGAATCAGTATAGCGGCAGATTCAAAATCAAGACTAAAGTTATCCATCTAAACTGACATGATCCTCAGCAGCTCAAAAACTCTGATGGCTAATGGACAGACGGCTGCTTCTCACTCAGGGCTGCTGTTCATGCTAATGACGGAGAGATGAGCACTAGTGGGCGGGGCTTTCCCCCTCTGATGACACGTACAAAGGGAGAATGTCAATCAAAGTTAGGAAATAATGCAAAAGATACAACAAAAATATCATATCAGGATATAAGTAATCACAAATCCTGATAACAATACACAACTAATAACAATTTAGTTCTATTTCTGAAAATTCAATCGATTAATAATTGACATATATTGATAACAACTAAAGAGCCATTTTTTTAACAGTTCAAAGTATCTACTATGCACTAATTCATTTTAGGATCATATTTTTGATTTTATTTCGAACTTCAGGGCAAATGTTTGATTAAGAATGTAGAAATATAAATTAAATATTAATAAAATATACTTCGAATAATAAATGACTGCAGGTCGAATATAAAAATTGCTAAATAAAATGTAAACATTGTACTTTCAAGTCTGCAACTTTCTCATGATGCAGTTATTCAGGTTTTTTTCTCCATCCACGTAATTGCGTGTATTATTGCACTTATAAAATGAAAAAAATATTACCATAAACAATGTATTAAGTGACACCTCGATATAATATGACACGATAGACTTTTTATTTTGTCTATAGTTTATTTATTTATATATTTTAATTTATATATTTTAATATTTTTTAATTAAAATATTTTAAATATTTGTCTTAAGGATATACTTTTTCAATTTTTTGAGATTTTATCATTATCAAAAAGCTTAATAAAAATAAACAAATATTGAAAAAATCGTTTACAAAGTTTTCCAAAAATTAAGTGTTGATATGTTTATAATGGGAAATGTACAAAGTGTCTTCATGGAGCAGGATCAATAATTATTTAACATGTTTACTGAAGGTAATTAATGATATTAGTGAGGGTCGCAGAGCAATGTAAAATTGAAAATGTAAAGCACAAATGATTTAATTTTACATAGCTACTGATTATACTAGTACAAACATGATTATTGATTTAAACTTCTATTTAAATGTATAGTGCACACAATTATTTACATACATATGAATACAACAAGCTGGGTCAACTATCCCTTTAGAGCAATCTGAACTGTTTTCCCACCTACATGGTCAGGCTCAAACACGAGCCACTTTTGTTAGCAGATGTTTGATTATTAGGACATATTTAATATATTACAATAACAAAAACAAAACATTTAGGTGATTTAAAATACATATACAACTTATTATAATTTAATCTTGAAATAATAACTGTTTTGCATAATTTCATAACAAAAACTATTAATATTTAAGATAGCCTTTAACATACATTAGTATTTTTTATTTTTGGAATTGTGTATTTAATTTTACTAGTTAGCATCCATCTGGATGTTATTATAATGTGCATTTACGTCAATCAAAACCTGTAGCAACCTGCACACATGCACATTCCCTATGCATGTGCAAACTCATGCAACTCAAGCTGCTACTGTAGTGAAATGGGCACAAGTTGACCAGAGTCGAGAATCTAACCTAGGGAAGCTTGTTTCAGCTGCTTGTTTTACTAATAAATAAATAAATAATAGTAAAATAAATAAATAGTAAAATAGTTTTTTTGATCTCAGAACTTAAAATTCAAACTCAAAACATTATGAAAATAAAATTAAAAAGTAAAATAATTAAGAAAATTGCACATTTTCCTCACAATTCCAACATTTTCCAAGTTCTGCCATTTTCCCTCTCTGATTAAGTATTTTAATATTTTAGATTTCGCAATTGACCTTTTGTCCCACAACTGTGAAAAAAAGCAGACATAATTGAAAGAAGCAACTCAGAAATGTAAGACGGAAGTTCGCAATTATCTTTTTTACCTCATTATCCTGTAGCAGAAACAGGTTTGCATACCAAACCAAGCCCAGTGAAAACTAAATTCCCTTGAACATTAATGAATTAGTGTAAAGAGTTTGGAGCAATGCATGACTTACAGAATTATATCAGCAGCGTAATTATACTAACATTCTCCCTTTGGAGAATGACTACATCATAAAACTAGTACATTTCTTGACACAAACACTCACCTTAAAGATTCAAAGGGATTGTTTACCAAAAAAAGAAAATGTACTCACTATTTACTAGGGGTGTAATGGATCACGGTTGATTCGTACGGGTCACAACTTACGGTTCGGAACACATGATTAATACATTTATTTCAACTTTACTAAATGTGTAATGACTGCAGAAAGATCGCCTCTCACGTCATTCAAATCAGATGTATGAAAGCATTCAGGCTTTCCTGTAAAATATAATGATGACGGAAGATGTTATGGTGGGTTATTGGGGATGTGTATCGCTGAAATTATACATTTTGCATCAGGTGCATTTAGCTGTGAGTTTGTGATGTATTTTTCTTTGAATTTATATGTGGTTTACTAAGTTGTAAAATAACACTGCTCCTCTGTTTAATTTTAATACAGAGAAGACATCATAATCAATTGAAAAACTCAGAAATTTTTTTTACATTTAAATTTTTTTATGTAATTTTTTTTAAAATTGTTTGTGTCTTTTTTGAAAATTTGAGAATTTGACTGAGACTTTTTTAAATCTATTTTGTTCTGCCATATAGAAACATTGAGGTGTTCATTTGATTTCTATATTAGGAAATAAAACTGGAATTGGTGACTTGTAACTTGTAATGGAGTCATTTTTACAGCAAGGTATCTGTACTTTTACTTAAGTATGGTTTTCAGGTACTCTTTACACCTCTGTCCTACGGGATGAGTATGCTTTTTTTTATTTACTTTGTTTTTTATTACAACAGTATCTCCAGCAGAAAATATCTCCAAAGATGCCGTTTTAAATCGTAAAAAGAACATATATTTTTTTAAAGAAATTAAGACAGCAGAAGTCAATAATTATTTTGAATTATAGTAAAGTTAAATTATAGTCTGACGTTTACTGCATCAAAATATTTTAAATGCTACTTAAAATAAAAAGGGGAAAAAGTTTTTTTTTTTTATTTGGACATTTAAAAAATGTATATTTTACAGCAGTAATCACAATACCGTGAAACAGTGATATTTTTATCCAAGGTTATCATACCCTCAGAATCGTATACCGGCCCAAGCCTAGTGCCCATATGTCTTTTTATGTGCATTTTTGAAACTTATGCGCATCTTGCTGTTTCCATCAAATGTTTATGCGCATCTCTAACATGTACATATAAAATAAGTGGATGGAAGCCTATGACTTTAAAGGCAGAAAAACAAATACTATTGAAATCAGTGGTTACAGATGTCCAATATTTTTCAAAATAACGTCCTTTGTTTACAACAGAAAGAAAAAATCTAAAATAAAACAACATGTTTGGGTGAGTAAACAATGACAGACTTTTAGTTTTAGGTGAACTATATCTTTACAGTAACATAGGATTTGAAGAAACAAAAATGTGAGGACAACAAATAATTTCTCGACACAAACGTAGTTATTTAAATAGCAGAGTTCACCCAAAAATAAACCTTTACTCTCAATTTACAGTTTTAGATATTACACTTAATTATGTTTAACATTTCCTCAACAGCCTGAACATTAAGCCAAACAAACCCACAGTCACTAATCTTCACGTGTATTACAGCAAAACCCCCACAAAACAGCTTATTTGAGCAGTTTTTTCAACAGTTTATCGCATTGCCAACAGCAACAACAGGCGTTTAATTAACTTAATGGCTTGATGTTGTTTACTAGAGGCAGGAGAGACTGCTGTGAACAGGCCCAACACACAAAACATCTCCCTATATTCACGATTATTCACTTCAACACAACCACATCAGCTCTTCCTTCTCATGCACACACTATCTAAAGCCCCACAAAACATGTGTGGACGATAAGAAATCGAGTGTTTGTGGCGATACAGCAGAGCTCAGGGCCTCTGACTAGCGGATAGCTTATTAGCCTTTAACCTTCTGACTCCGCTGCATATGCTCGAGGCACAGATACTACAAGCAAACCTACATATTTCCAATGTTATCGTTTAATTCTGCACAATTATCATGTACATTGACTTATATGTTAAAACGAATACATCGACTATCTTCAGGCCTAGTATGAAGCTAGTTTAACGGTTTTACTCTGCGGTTTCCACAATGTAAACAACTAATTAATTTATTTAAACGCTTAATAAACTGTCTGTGCTTTAAATAAGAGATGAATAAAGAGCTGTAGTGCGTTTATAATGGTAAAGCTCTCCAGTCCTGCTTAACATTTGCACTCGGTTAAGCAGCTAGCATCATTAGCCGCCGTTAGCTGCAAAGTTAAACAAACACCGCCGTTTTTTAAAGACTCCCTAAATATGTAAAGTATATATTAATGTGATTTAAATGTAATGTGATTAATCTCATCTTCTTACCGCTCTCCAGTTCATTGCCTTTTTTGGCGGTCGCTGCGTTTCCCATAGTGCGGGAGACTCTGGCGATCCTCGGCGAGTCCTTGGGAAAAGCTTCCGTGAACTCGACACCTCAGGCCGGGTCTTATCGCGGAGCACCGGGAGTCCGGTAACGGGAGTGATCCCTCTGCGGGGTTTCTGCTTCCGTGCCGCGGATGACAGCTGTGATCTCCGCCACGGTGATCGCGGAGTCTCTTGACTTTCTCGCCGCGATCTTCACTCGCTAAGCCGGAATGGGCTATATGCACGCATTACTTCCGCGTTTTGTCTAAGGCCGCGGTCCAGCTTCCGGTCTGGGTGATTTTAAGCGGAGGTAAACAGTATTATGGCAGAGTCGTCAATATTTACTCGCTGTTTGCGAGTAAATTATGGTCAACGATGTGCAAATGATTGTCCGGATGTACTCTACAACACCGCAGAGCAAAGCTTGAGAAAGGTTTCAAGTTTTATGCATCTTCCTACCTGTGCAATTATGAAGGTAAGTTCAGCTAGCCTGAAGGCTAACTTTAGCGTTAATACTCTTACGATCCGTCCATCGGAAGCTTTATCACGTAAGTAAAAATAATCATATGTGTACGTAATTCTGTCTCATAGTGTCAGGTAAAAACAGGGCAGGAATAAGGTCTCAGTGAGAGCTCATTACTACCGATAGATCTATGAAGAAATCGGAGTCTCCTCACTAGCTGAGAGTAGGACAGCATACATGTGAAGTTCTGTCCTATTCGTATTTTTACTGTTCTAAAGTGACCACCACTGTTCAGTTCGGATAGTTACAGAAACACAGATGCTGTCTTAGCTTGTAAGCATGATTAATGAGCAAGATATATTAGGAATGAAATAATACAATGCCGTTCCATCCACAACAGACAAATAGCACTGTGATTTATTGAACTGATTTATTGCTGAAACAGTGGAGATGACAGATGCAGTGTAACAGTGTAGATAGCATGCTTTCTATTTAGCCTATAACATTGTAATTAAATGGGAGGGTGACCCAAAACAATAAGGTGTCATTAGTTAATTTCACATCAACAATTTGTCTATTGCAATATTTATTAGTTTTTTATGTTAATGAACAAATGCTGATTCATTGTGCTTGTTAACTCACAATGTAATAGCTAATGTTAACAAGCATGACTTTGGATTTTTATTCATTAGTAAATTAGTTTAACAATGCTAACTATTAAATATTAAATAGTTATTTTAATAGTGAGCAAATACATTAACTAATGAAACCTTATTTTAAAGTGTGACTAAAGGGAGCTACTTTTAAATAATTTAAATTAATGATTTACTGTGTAGTTTAATCTGATGATATTGCTGCAGATGCCTTTCAAAAGAAGATATTTTGAAGAAAGCTGAAAACCTGTAACCATTGACTTCCATAGTAGGAAAAAGAACTACTATGAATATCAGTTGTTGCAAGTTTCCAGCTTTCTTCAAAGTATTTTTGTTTGTGTTAAACATCAGAAACAAACTCATACAGGTTTGGAACAAGTGAAGGATGAGGAAATAGAATTTTCAGTTTTGAGTGAAGTGCCTTTAATGACTCTCTTTAAAAACCTATTAATATTCTTGTTTCTGTTTTCTAGGTAACATTATGAGATTCAGAGCTAGAAAATTTTATGTGTTACTTAATCCTGGAGCGGACATCCGTCAGAAGATCCATGCCATCGTCTGCTAGTTAATAGCTCCTGCTCTTGTGTGGCTGAGAGTGGGATATGCAAACATTTGGTTGCTTTGCTTTTCGAGACAGCCCATTACTCTGAAATGTGTAATGTGTGTTGTCACGTGAACAATTGTTTGGAATGGATCAATTATGTGTTAAGTTCCATGAAACAGAGGGGTGATTTATTTATTTATTTATTTAATACGTATAAGCCCAAATACCTCTCTAAGCACAAGTTACAGAAGAAGCACCTGATTCAAGAAAACAACTGATTCAATGTTATTGTTTCTGTTCATCTGAATAAAATATTTTTTTCAAAATGTTACATTTTTTTGACAATTTTTATTTCAAATTATATACAGTGAATTATATTTTATATGTACAGTGAATAAAATAAAGGTCTTTATTCTGAATTAAATATTGCACTTAGAAAGTAGCTTAAGAAATGTTTATGTATATTAATGTTCAGTTTTTTTAACTTCAAAGGCAATGAAAACTATTATTTGCCATAAAAGCTCCTTTCTTTAAATGTCTGCATCCGGTTGGCACTCGAGCCTCGATCAGTTTGCTAGACTGAAATTGTCAGCTACACTCTTGTTTTTTTCTGTTTCTGTAAAATTCTCACGTTTAATATCAACAACCCACCTCTTCTGCACGACTTTGTCTTTTGGAAACATGTGGAAACTAAGGTAAGAGTTCAATTTTTGACGCTGTGCGTTGCTGAACACAGCAGTGGTATCTACAAGTACTGTTCTCACGTCTTTGAAATGACACTTTTAAACGTTTAGATGTCATATTTATGTAGCTGACATAGACATATATAAGTGGGCTATAATGGCATAAAACATTAAGACAACTGTCCAAAACATTACTCGTTTTTATCAGCAGCGCTCCTGTTGTAGCACTGTACTGTACGATCGGCGGAAGTAGGCTCGGGGTCTTAAATTTTACCGGAAATGCGTCACGCGCCGCCGTGCATAGAGCCCATCTTCCTCTGTGCTGGAGACCAGGAGGAGGAACGACGCTCACACTGCCCCCTGCTGGAGGATAATCACTGACAGAGAGAACAGGCGGGTTGTGAATTTTTTTTCAATATTAATATTTTTTTTAATATTAATATTTATTATTATACACTAAATTTGTTTTGTCTAAAACTGTAAAAATAACTTACGAATAAAAAAATGAAGAATTCACACTCATACCTGCTGCCCCCCTCTGGAGGACACTCACTGACAGAGAAAACATGCAATGCATGAATATTTGTACTACTTATAGTGATACAATCATTTATTTATTTTTTTCACACACACAAAAAAGACCGTAATAAAAAATAAATAAATTAAATTATATAAATGTATATTAAAAAAAAAATTGGCCTGGCGGAAACACACTCATGCTGCCCCCTGCTGGAGGACACTCACTGACAGAGAAAACAAGCGGTTTCTGAACATTTTTACTATAGTAATATTGACGCAATAAGTTAATTTTGTCAGTTTCATGCACAAAAAAATTAATAAAAAACTAAAAAAAGAAAAAATGAGGCTGTGTCCGAAACCGCCGACTATGTAGGTACTGCATTTGAATATAAACGTATTACGCAACCATTAGAAAAGTGCGTTCTATACAGTATGAATGTGAAAAGTAAGAATGGAATTCGGACATACTACATCCGCCATTTTGACATAGTCACGTGACGTACCTGCGTCATTTGCGTCGCTTTACTCCCATTCATAAAATCGCATCATCGGATCTCGCAGCATGCATGGGATGCGCACTCCAGAATCTCGCCGGAATAAGTAAGTCATCCGGGTACTTCTCGCATGCTGTTTTTCGAATTCCATTAATTTGGACATACTACTCGGCCCGCATACTGATTGTAGCAAACTGTATAGTATGGAAGAATGCGGTTTCGGACGCAGCCTGAGACCTAGAGATGGATTCATGCTCATGCTGCCCCCTGCTGGAGTACACTCACTGACAGCGAGAACAGGCGGTTTACGAACATTTTTACTCTAGTAATTTCAATACAAATAATACGTTTTGTTGGTTTCATAGACATAAACACAAGCAAATAACAAACAATAAAAAATAACTGCGACCTGAAGGAGGATTCATGCTCATGCTGCCCCCTGCTGGAGGACTCCACCGACAGAGGGAACACGTGGTTTACGAACATTTTTACTATAGTAATATCAATACATGTATTTTTTTTTGTCATTTTCATACTGGGAAAAAACAGAAATGAATAACAAAAAATAATAACTGCGCCCTGCTGGAGGATAATAACCGACAGTGATGACAGGCGGTTTACGAACATCTTTACTCTAGTAATATTTATAGAATGTGTTCATTTTGTTAGTTTTATACAGAAAAAATAAAACTAAATAAAAATAATTCAAAATAAAACAAACAAACTGCGACCTAGAGAAGGATTCAGGCTCATGCTGCCCCCTGCTGGAGGACTCTCACCAACAGAGAAAACCAGCAGCTTACGAACATTTTTACTGTAGTAATACTGAATATAATAAATTTGTTTCGTTAGATTTATATAGAAACAGAATAAAAAACTTATGAGAAAACAATAACTGCAATCTGGAGGAGGAGTATACCGCACCCTGCTGGAGGACATTTAACGACAGAGAAAACAGGCAGTTTACGAACATTTTTACTCTAGTAATATTAATAAAATATAATCACTTAGTCAGTTACACACACGAAACAGAAAAAACTTACTAAAATTAAAAATATAAAATAGATATAAATAATTAAAAAATGTAAAATAAACAAACTGCAACCTGGAGGATGCACACTAATGCTGCCCCCTGCAGGAGGACTCTCACTGACGGCGAGAACAGGCGGTTTATGAACATCTTTACTCTAGTAGTATTAATACAAATAATTTGTTTTGTTGGTTTCCTACAGAAAAAAAACAGAAGCGAATAACAAAAAATAAAAAATAACTGCGACCTGAAGGAGGAATCAGGCCCATGCTGCCCCCTACTGGAGGACTCTCACCGACAAAGCGAACATGCGGTTTACGAACATTTTTACTATCGTAATATTGATAATAAATTTGTTTTGTTGGTTTCAAACAAAAACATAGCTTTAAAAAATAATAATAACTTTGACCTGGAGAAAGATTCAGCATCATGCTGCCCCCTGCTGGAGGACACTCACCGACAGAGCAAACAGGCAGTTTACGAACATTTGTACTCTAGTAATAACAATACAAATAATTCATTTAATTAATAATCCAAACCCCAGAAACGAATAACAAGTAACTGCGACCTGGAGAAGGATTCATGCTATTACCGCACCTTGCTGGAGTAAAAAACAAACATTTTTACTCTAGTAATATCAATACAAATAATTTGTTTTGTCGGTTTCATATAGAAACAGAAAAATTTACTTACGAAAAAAAGCAACC